AGATGCAGAGAAAGCATTTGACAAGATACAGCATCCATTCATGACAAAAACTCTGAATAAAATGGGTATAGGAGGAAAGTACTTCAACATAATAAAGGCCATATATGACAAACTCACAGCTAATATCATCCTCAATGGTGAAAAACTGAAAGCTATCCCTCTAAGAACAGGAACCAGACAAGGATGCCTACTTTCACCACTCCTATTTAACATAGTATTGGAAATCCTAGCCAGAGCGATCAGTCAAGAAAAAGAAATAAAAGGGATCCAAATTGGAAAGGAAGAAGTAAAACTGTCACTATTTGCAGATGACATGATTTTATATATAGAAAACCATAAAGAATCCACCAAAAAACTTTTAGAAATTATAAATGAATACAGTAAAGTGGCAGGATACAAAATCAACATACAAAAATCAGTTGCGTTTCTATACACTAACAATGATGCAGCAGAAGGAGAACTTAAGAATACAATCCCATTTACAACTACAACAAAAAGAATAAAATACCTAGGAATAAACTTAACCAAAGATCTGTACACTGAAAACTATAAAACATTGTTGAAAGAAATTGAAGAAGACACAAAGAAATGGAAAGATATTACGTGCTCTTGGATTGGAAGAATTAACATAGTTAAGATGTCCATACTTCCTAGAGCAATCTATAGATTCAATGCAATCCCTATCAAAGTTCCAACAACATTTTTCACAGAAATAGAGCAAAGAGTCCTAAAATATACATGGAACAACAAAAGACCCCAAATAGCCAAAGGAATCCTGAGAAAAAAGAACAAAGCTGGAGGTATCACATTCCCTGATTTCAAAATATACGACAAAGCTATAGTAACCAAAACAGCATGGTACTGGCACAAAAACAGACACACAGATCAATGGAATAGAATCGAAAGCCCAGAAATAAACCCACACATCTATGGACAGCTAATTTTCAACAAAGGAGCCAAGAATAGACAATGGAGAAAGGAAAATCTCTTCAACAAACGGTGCTGGGAAAACGGCACAGCCACATGCAAAAAAATGAAAGTAGACCATTATCTTACACCACATACAAAAATTAACTCAAAATGGATTAAAGACTTGAATGTAAGACCTGAAACCATGAAAATTCTAGAAGAAAACATAGGAAGCTCTTCGACATTGGTCTTAGCAACATATTTTCTTTTTTTTTTTTTTAATAATTTTATTTATTTATTTCTTTTT